CCCCACCTTTTGCAGCCTCCTCGGGATGCTCGAGTAAGGCCTCAGCGTGCGAGCGAAACTCCGCCGCACTGGCAAAGATGTACCTGGGCTCATCCCTCAAAAAACCAACGATTCAGGGTCTATAGGGCATCTATAGCGGCTCTATAAGGGCTCGTCCCTTAGGGAACCGAGGATTTAGGGTCTACTTGGAGCTTTTAGGGCCCTTTCCTCAAGGGAACCCTAGGATTTCGGGTCTATGGGGCTTTAGGGCTTTGGGTTTAAGGGATCTATCAAGGATCTATAATGGCTCTATAAGGGGCTTTTTTATCAGGGAAGCTAGGATCTAGGGTCTATAGGGCTTTAGGGTTTAGGGTTTGATGGATCTATCAAGGATCTACAATGGCTCTATACGGGCTCTTTTATCAGGGAAGCTAGGATTTAGGGTCTATAAGGCTTTAGGGCTTTGGGGTGTATGGGTTTGGGGTTTAGGGCTTTAGGGTTTAGGTAGGGCTTTAGGGTTTAGGGTTTAAGGGATCTACAAGAGATCTATAAGGGCTCTTTTGGGCTCTTTAAGGACTCCGTAAGGGTTCCATAAGGGGTCATACTTGGAGGTTCATGGGCAGTTATACGTGGAGTTATAAGTCCCCTAGTATAGGTCATAACTATAGTTGCCCTACTTATAACCCTACTTATAACTACCCAATGAACCTCCAAGTAGGGCCTTGGGGTCTAGGGGTTTTTGGGTGTCTAGGAGTTTAGTTTTGAGGTGTCTTATGATAGGCTGCTACTTTGCACTTCTGGGGTTGGTAAGACGCTTGGTTGCTCAAGGCTTGGGGCTTAGGGATCGTGTTTTGGGGGAGCCAAACTCTCGTAGGTTTTGCTTTGAGAAACAGAGGGGCTTTAAATTCATAGGGTAATGGGTTGATGAGGATCTTATAAGGCTTTTTTGTGTTAAGACACTTACTTTTGGGCGGAAGGAGGTTTTTTGGTCGAAGTAAAGCCTCCACCCTCAACCCTAAACCTCAAAAAGGGCTGTATGGGGTTCTCAACACAAGGAAACTAGATTGTAAGCGGTCTTACAGGTTTTGTACAGGTTTGTTGTTAAGGAAACTACTTTAGAGGGGTTTCAGGCTTCTGCACGGGTTTAACTATATGGGTGGTTCTTTAGATTAATTTAGAAAACTTCCCACATGCTCCAGTTGTGATACTGAACAACAACCCAGGTGCGTGCCGCAATTCGCCTGCGAGGAAATCCTTACTGGTCCAGTTTCTGCCTATGGGTTAGAAAAGAAAAAGGAATAGTCTTAGAGCTGTACGAACGAACCTAAACCCTAAACTCTAAACCCGTATAATCCTAGAGCTGTAGAAACGAAAACGAAAGCAAACCCCAACACCTAGCCAAGCTACCATCACAGATTTCTTCTCCAACCCTAGCAGCGACCCTTGTCTTGTAGAGTCCCTTTAAAGGGACCTACAAAGAAACCTTCGGGTTTAGGGTTTAGGGAAACCCGAAACCTTCAGGATAGCTAAGGATCACAGACTTCTCCTTCACCTCTGCGATTTTTCCATCTTCATTGAGCTTGATGAAAGAGAACGTCGCACGTTGCGCGGACGTCCCAGAGACGGGGGCCTTGTCCAAATCAATATACCTTGGTTACCCAGCCCACCTTAAAGCAACGTATTCCGTCGCGGGTCCATTTTGTTAGAAGTTCTCTCGCGTTTCAGGTGATAGGGTGTCTTGAAGGTGTGAGGGTGGTAGGGAAGGAGGCGGTTTTACCGCTTTCCAAGCGGGGGCAAAGAGAGGGGGCCTGGTGGCAGAATCTCCAAAGGCTTTTGGATGAAGACGTAGCTCACAACTGAATCCCCATAGAAACGAACCCTCACACTAAACCCTAAAACCGAGCCCCAGAACAACAACCCAACCCTAAACTCTATACTCATTCCATACCCTACACCCTACACAAACGCTAGGCTAAACGAAAACGAACAACTGCTATTGGAGAGCCTTGATGCACTGAAGCATGTCCTTCCGAAACTCGGCACAGGTGCAAGACATCCACACCGTGATAGATTGTGGAGCCTTACTTAAAGGATCGGGTGACATGGTAGGTAGGCTTCTAAATAGGGTAGCTGTAAGCTGTAATTCTTAACCAGGTTAAAGTACTTGTAACCCTTCGTCGTATTGCTCGCGATCCTCCCAAGTGCTTCACCGATGACTCGTGCCAGGGTGTTTTGTATGCCGTTTTCATGTTCTTATAACGTTTGTATCATGTGTGCATAGGGGGCTACATCCGCAGAGTCTTACAAGCCTGGAGGTTGGGTGTTCGAAAAGAAAGGAGCCCCCCAAAACACCAAATGCTAGGAGACAATGAATAACTACTCGCAAGCTAAGGGGCAATCTAAGGTGACGAGGCAGTTCCTGCTTTCTTTGGCAGACATCTGCCTGGTGACGGACAACACGGTTTCTAGCCAGCCGCGCGTCTCAAAAGGCAAGACCACAATCCTGGGTTACAGCGTCAGGTTCCCCAAAACGGGTTGCAGATTAAGGCTAACCATGAGGGGTTTTGGCTTTGGGGTGTTGGGGGCACCTCCATCAATACATAAGGGAAATCAAACCGGGTCCCAGGGCGCCACCAAGAATCTTGAAGTCGACGTGAGGAAGCAGGCGTCGCACAATTCTTTCAAGGTCGAACTGCCGCATGATCGCGACGGGAACGGCCAAAAAGACGGCATCGGTGGGGCGAAGGCTCAGATGATCCAACACCCATAACAAGACCTGGGCTGTTGATAGGAAAAAGCGTACACCTTCTTTCGGGCAGGTATGTCACACAGTACAATCTAACAGGAACCCAGAAACCACAAAGTAACCATGCTACAAGATACCTGCTGATTCGAATGGGTTTTAGTTTTGGGGTATCTTTTTCGAACTAGGCTGCACAGAAATGCACTGGGACAAAGGTATATATGTTTTGAGCGGCAGGAATGTTATAACAGGATCCCGGAGGCAACAAACACCAAACATACCACTGAATAAGCTAGACACCGGCCGTCCTACAATGTTGACCAATGGCTTCGGCATTCGAAAGCCGGCTTCGGCAAACTCACTGCCCAGACCTCCCATCGGGATAACCACCGAGAGAGGCTTCTCGAAATCATCGGATCGCGAAGGTCTTCGCTCTTGTTGGGGAGTGCCTGGGTTCTCGTTAGGGGACTTTTATTTAAGTTACCATAATAATGAACCCATATTATTTACGAAAGATCCCCATGATGGTAACTTAAATAAAAACCCCCTAACCAGAGCCCAGGTGCTTGGCTGAGATATCGCCTGCAAGCGGCGCTTCAGAGCAAGGAGCTCACTCTCCTTCTGCTGAATTTCGCTTCGAAGGCACTCCAGATCGGGCCATTGCACATCATCGCTCAATGGGGCCGGGGCTGCCATGTCTTGGACCAAGATGGCTTCGCGAAGACGGGGTTCAGGGGTTTAGGGTTTTGGTTTTGGAGTCTGCGATTTGGGGCTTAGTGTCGGGGTTTAGGGCTTAGAGTCTAGGGAATTTAGGGCATCAAGAACGCAAGGATTGCTCCAGAGCCCACTACCCTGGTCAACATTGGAATGAAGAACCCTATTCATTATCATCCTACGAGACCCTAGACCCCTAAACCATAAACCTCTTGACCCTAAACCCTAAACTTTAAACTCTTAAGCTTTAAGCCTCTTGACCTTAAACCCTAAGCTTTAAACTCTTAAGCTTTAAACCTCCTGACCTTAAACCCTTAACCCCTAAACACCCTAAACCGAGCACCCCAACCTCAAGGCTGACAGCTGAACACAATCCGACCAGCCGCCCCTGTAAGAAGCCGATAGCTCTTAAGGGCTTTGGGCTTAGGTTTAGGGTTTAGGGCGTAGGGCTTTGGGTTGCTTTGGGTTTAGGTTTCGGGGTGTAAGTAGGCCTTCGGGGCTTGGTCAAGAGGTTTTGGGCTGATGGCTTCTTACGGTTGATGATCTAAACCCTGCATTACCCCATAGTGAGGAATATGCCATAATTCCCATAGTTTAGGGTCCTTAACGTAATGCAGGATTTATATCATCAACACTACTTCGGTCTTTTGCGGACTCTAGCTCGTGCCGTGGGGATCCGTGTCCTCTCTCCTGGTGTTGTTCTTGCCTTGCTGAAACTTCTCAACTGGCTACTGTTGGCCTTCGCATTCCTAGTATGACAAGGGAGTTTCAGAAATCCAGCACCCAAGCACAGGGACTCTCATAAGCCGGATCCTTATCAAGTCAAGGACGCCAAGGTAGTAAGGCACCCCATGCACCCAAAGACTCCAATATCCCTTACATTATGGAGTTTATACCTTAAATTGATTTGAGATATATGCCTTAAAAAAGGGATACTTTGGAGTCTCTGGGTATAGCCCCTAAAATTGATAAGTCCCGCAAAATAGGTTATAACTATAGTTACCCTAATTATAACCCTACTTATAACTACCCATGAACCTCCAAGTAAGGCACCCCTGCAACTGTTGAGAAGAAGCCAAGTTCGGAAGGATCCTGGGCGGCATCCGCAGGGAGGAATCTGCAGCACAGCGCCCTCAGACAAAGTGGAGGTCTTGCCAGGTTTGCTTGGGTTCAGGGGTTTAGGGTTTGCATAGGGTTTAGGGGTTTAGGGTTTGCATAGGGTTTAGGGGTTTAGGGTTTACAGTAGGGTGCAGGGCCGTGTAGGGCAAACTAGCCCCTGAATTCCGGAGTATATCTCAAGTTGCAGCTTGCGGGTTTGGGGTGTTTGAACAACAAATCCCTGAGTTCCGGAAGCTATCTGTCTATCTCAAGTCACAGAGTTCCTCTTCCGGACCCCAACAGGCACCCTAATGTAGAGAACTGCCCATATGCCTTCATTCATTAGGAGGTGCTGGGCTCCATGGTTCAGCGAGGTGCCAGACCCCGCTATTTTTCGGACAATAAGCTACAGGTTATAGGGGCCTTAATAAGTACAACAGGGTTTTGGGGTATATTATGCTATAACAATAAAAAGGAACCCCCGCAAAAAGAAAGATATATAGGTAATTTCTTAGGCTTCGGCCCCGATAGTACAGGGTTTAGCCTCAGTTTCAGAGCTCAAACCCTAACATCAAACCCTTCGTGCAAAGCCCTATGCCAAATAACCAGTCCTTCCGCAGGCCAGAAAACCCTGGGAGCCAAACGTTCCGTGTCTGAAGACTACTATAAGAGCCTTGATAACTCGAATAGGGCTTGTGATAGTATAGTTCTCATATGGTACACAGCTTCGTTTTTGATTCAAGGGTGCTGTCGTCACCATGGAGACAGGATGCGAAGCATCGAGAGCCCATCGTCACGCATCTTATGGCAGGTTAACCAAACCTCGAGCCATAAAACCCCGAAGCATTATTTTTGTGAAGCTCAAACCCAAGGCCCGAATCCATCCCAAATCTGACACCCCTGGCAAAGGGGCCTTGACAATTGGCATATTACCGTATACTTATTAGAATCAAGACTGTAAGGAAAAGTATGGGTGATCGTTCAGGGAGGGCCCCTACAGTTGATGATGAACACAAAATGGGTAGTACAGACCTTGGTTGTAACGCTGCTGCTAGCCCGTACTGTGACACTATTAGCTGAGATGGTCAAGAGCCCTGAAAATGCCCCTAAACATCAACATAAACGCAGTGTGCGTTTACGGCTGGAGGCATCGTTATCTTATCTTTATGCTTCTTTTGAGTCTTTCAGGGTATCGAAATACTGGCTCTCTCTGGTAGGCTGAATTTAGGGAGAACCCTAAACCCTAAACCCGAAACCCTGCTGACACCCTCTGGCTCGGTGTATAGCCTACACTCCTAAGCCGCGAAGTCCAAATCTCCAAATTCATATACTGGGTTGCAATTCTGGGGCCCTGAAAAGTCTTTATGAATAGGTACCTCTATTTTAAGGTTTCCCAAAGTGCCACCTAGTTTAAAATCGTATTAAACGTACAGGCTTCGAAGCTCGAAGGGGCAAAGGCCCACAAGCTGCTAAACCCCCCCAACACCCCCCAAAACTCATGACAATAGTCCCCTCCTGGTCAATGATCCCCTCCCCCCTCAGAATAAAGCTCCCCACACCATAAACTGCGAAACATAGGCGTAGAGGCCTTAGACATTGGAATGGGGTGTTGAGGTAGAGTATTTCGGGACATCAAGCGGACATGTTGCTTGAGCATGCTTGAGCACGGTTCAACCCTGTCAAAAAGCGGGCAAGGTGGCATTCAGATTGTATTTACTACTGAGTATTCAGACCCTTATTAGGGTAGTTCTCTAAATTAGGGTCTGTTTTTAGGTCCCCAAGATAGTACGGCACACTTCTAAACCTTAGTTGCTGAGTTCATAAGCACAGAAAAGTTCATATTATCCCAAAAAGCTTGAAGTGTAGTCATTCAGCTACTCAGAAACAGGACCCCCAAAAGGGACCCTAGGTTCTGGAGAACTGCCCATTTACAGGCCCTCTTTGAAACTCCGAGCCCGGGGTGCTCCAGCGTCCGCGCCAGCACCTGCAGCTGCGTGCCAGATCCACAGAGCGGAGCTCGTAGACGCTCCTTACAAGACCCAGAGCCTACTGTAGGGCCTCAGGACGCAGGATAAAGTTCTACAGTCTACATCGGGTTTTGCATAGTCTCATAAGGTTTGCATAAACAGAATCAGGTTTCGGGCTTTACGATCGGTCCCGAATCATTAGCACGGGGTTTTGCGGTATATCAGTAGACAAGTTTGGACGAGGACTAGAATTTTTGCTCCCTTTCGGATCCAGGACTTGGGTTTCGGGGTTGTCGGGATCGAGGGCCTGGGGGTTTAGAGTTAGTTGCACGAGCACTGGTGGAGTCGTTGCCAACTTGCTTTAAGCACCCCTACACCCTAAACCCTAAACCCTAAACCTTGCTTTAAGCACTCCACAGCCAATTCCACTTTATCTTGTATCATCGCGTTCATGCGCGTCACCTCCCTCCAGCAGCTGCCGTTGCTTAAACGGATGTCCAGCTTCGCGCATAGAGAGAAGAACAATGACGATTTCAAGGCCGTGCTCATGGTGATGTCAGTGAGGAGGATCAGGACCTGTAAACCCAAACCCAAATCCAGAGCCATAACACAGGTCGAAAGTTCAACAAAAGTCACTGGCTTGTAGTTGAAGGGCATCCCGGATTAGTCTTGAATACCTGCCCCACCGTTAGACCGCAAGGAAACCAAAAGGTGTGCCAACGTACCACCCAGGCAAATGGTAATGTTGACCTGATGGTGTGCAAAGCAGTAGCGGGAATGATTGCATGACTGATTCACAACTTCTCGAACCCTCCTGCATCACCTGAACACTAAACCCTAAGTCCCAAACCCACACTCATCCCAACTCTAACTAGACAGGGCTCGCGTAGGGAGTCGCTGACCTCCTGGCCACAGTCCGAGGCATCTGAGAGTGCCCGATGCCCCCCACCTTAAATATATCAGGGGCCCTTAAATAAAGGTAAGGGAGCCTGCCCTTGTCTAGTAACCCTAAGTAGTGAGATCTACATCATACTGACCGTAAGAAACCCAATAAATCCAATAGAACCCTAAACCTTATAAGCTCCAAGATCCTAACACCTCCCACATAAGTTCGGAAGGAGAGCTACTATGGATCGTCTTAGGACTGCTGTCAGGGCGAACATTATGGTCACCATTGACAACAGGGCGAATGACAAGTATAGGGTTTGGGTTGATGTTGCTTGGAATTAGGAGTCAGTTAACGATCATCGTCATTAGGTTGGTATCTAGTACAGGTTTAGCTTTAGGGCTCGTATGTGTACATACATACACATTAATGTACATACGCGCATATGGGCAAGTCGACAACAAGTCCGACATGATCATATACTACCATGAGAAAGGGGGTGCATACAACATGTTCAGGTAAACAAACACATGCGTTTATCATCCCTAAATCTAAGGGCCATCATTGGGGCAACGCCAGAGCGAAAACAGCTAAGGATCGTGGTTCTTAAAGGAATTCGTTTTGTGTAGTTTGAGAATATTAGCATGAATATGACGGGGGGTCTTGATGAATGTTCATGCTAGGGATACCACAGCTACATCCAATT